CCTCCTCCCCACTCCCCCCCCCCCCCCTCCCCCCTCCCCCCCCCAGGTGGACGTGAATGTCCACATCCTTTTTCGTTCGTAGAAGTACATGTCGGCCACTTGCCGTTACTAGAGGGAGGCGTGTCTTGACTGTCGATGTGCATCAAATTACAGGATTCTCCGAGGCATATACGAGATATGATATATGTACAGTATATACGAATTCTCGTTCACCGAGAAGTCGAAAAGAACTCTTTGCAGCAAGTTTCCGCAGAACGTTCTCTTCATCATCGCTGGAGAGAGACGCGACGAGCACCCCCATCCACGTTACAGCCGACATCGATCGGTCGCCCCGATACCAAGGAGTGGGCCATCGATCCGCCCTAATCATGCATATATCCCCCTTTTTTGTCGCTAATGAGGCCGCCTCCGCGCGAGGAAAAACAAGGTCTCCAAGTCTCGCGACGTACATCGTGCCCTGTCGTTAGTCGTGCGCTTCTTTTCGTTTGTACCGATGCTCTTCCGCTTCCATTCATACGCATTGCAATTTTTCATTAAACTGAATTGCATTTCGAATGCGAATTGGCCTTCTGCACAATGAAAAGTCTAAGTAATACGAAAAAGGGGTTAGTCCTATTCTAAAGATTCACTCAACGCTTTTATATCATCTATCAGCATATCATAATTGACCACATATCATGTTGAATAATTGACAACATATAATAATTGACAGCAATAGTATCCTCACTTCGTTACAAATAGCGAACTGGGTCTTTCAATAGCAATTGCGTTTCACGTGGGCTCTGCCAGTGAGATCTCATCGACGCGGGAGCTGATTAATTCACTGTTTTATTCACGCCATAAAAAAACCACCAGGAACGGGATGGAAGATCCATCGACGGCAAACAGTGAAACCCCATCGCTAATAAAATGCGGAAATCCTTCGAAGGAACAGCGGAAATATTTCCATTCTGAGAAGAAATAGGCAGACCGCTTTTAAAATGTTTTAATGGCATCAGATGATGTTTAAAGCGTGGCGCCAGCTGACCAATATTCGCCATCGTGCCGCGTTCCCATCATTCGGTGCGGCCATTTTTTTTTGCATAGTTCCATTAGGTTGGAATTTTTTTTTTTGCGACGAGGAAGAACGATATTTATCACATTGTCAATGTAGCGGCAGGAAATTCATCATGGGGTTTCAGGAGTTTGTGTTGTTCGGATGGAGAACGTGTAGAACTCCGTATAGGATTCCGAGGGCGGCGATGGGGTCGTCCCATTTTCGGGAAATATTCCCCTTAAAGGATTTTATTCGTAAAACTTAGTTGAAGCTCCGGAAAAAGAAGAAGAAGAAATTTTGGAGGAAATCGTCCAGGTGGTGGGGGTGGGGGGAAGGGGGGATGGGGATGGGGGGGATGGGGAGCCGACGCATGCTATGCGTCGGCTCCACGCTGGCGAGTCCAGAGCCGTCATTCCGTCATTCCGTCATTCCGTCATTCCGTCATTCCGTCATTCCGTCATTCCGTCCATTTTCGTTTCTGAGTATTGCAAGTACCTGAAGGGGTTAAGAGGATTTCAATCGAGATTTCTGGTCCGTTACACGTTCGTATTTGGCGCTTCTTGCTCCCAAACTCGTGGCTGCGTGTACTTTCTAATCGGTTTTGGTTGTGGAAATTCGACGGAGCCCGATTCACAAGCCATGCGTTTCCTTCTTCATCCGAGCATTCGAGCCGGCACGCACGGACGCGCCCTCTCCTCCGCCTTCGGGCTTCAGATGACGCGTCGAGACCTCCTTACGCATGCAAATCGCTCACGTCGCAGGGAGGAAACATTTGCTCGTCCGGTCCAAATAAAAGTAGAGGCTCTTCGAGAGCGTCTCCAAGCAGAATAACCGATTCCACTCAGATTTTGACGATACTCTTCCAAACGTCTCGTGTTTCATTTTGATGTCTGCCTTTCGGATCATCCACCGCAGCGAGGAACGGGGAAAAAGAAATAGTCAACGCCTTCTTCGACGACGTCATCGTCATCGGACGATCCGCCGAAGGATCGAGCATTGCCCTCCCCGCCTGTAGATGTCAGCAGCAGCGGCTGCGAGGGAATTCCTGCATCCACGAATTTCGCCAGAATCTGTCGTGACGATGGTGCTGGCCAGATTTCCGGCGAATAGCTCGCGGTGAGGATGATGGGAGCATCAAATTCGCTTCTTCCCTAAAGCGAAAGGAATGAAGTGATTTGCAAAAACCACTTTCTTTTCTAACCGTGAACACTTGGCTCTAAAACACGTATACCACTGCATTCTAAAATCGCAGTATGCAACCATTTAATGTCATTAGTGAATTTCAGTTGTGCAAAATTAAGCATACGACTCTTTTCAAACAGCAGCACGTCATTGCACAATAGCGCATTAGAGGCGTGCGTCGATTCCTGCACCGAACAGCGGACAGCTGAGACCCCGCACGCGAAGACGTTCTCAGGCCTTGCAGGCCCGCAAAGCGGCGAACCCGGCTACACCTCTACCCAGCGACTCCAGCAGCTGCCTTCGCATCGCTCCGGGGGCCATTCCCCGCCGGGCCGTCGAGGTGGTAGCAGTTTCGCTCGTGTGCGTTTACAGTTCAACTGTTTTAGTGATAATTATAGCGAGGCATCGAACGGGTGAGTCAGCCGATCTTGTTCCTCCGGTAAAATGTTTTAATTAAATTAAGGTTTAAATGCTCCGCGCAAGAAAGTCATTCCATGCCAAGTGGTCCAACGGTGGTTGCTGCACCAACTGAAATTTTACAGCTAAAAATCATGGGCATTGGGGGTAATGAGAAACCGATGAATCAGAAACTTCTGCTGTCTCGGTCAAACGTTCTTTGAAAGTTTGAGACGAAATGGTGAAGTGGAATTTTCACATTTTCAACCCTAAAAGATTAAAAAGAAGAATGCATGTAACTGGACCAGTCTTTGTGTGTCTATCTTGCTCTATGAGATTAGTCCAAAGATGTATGCATTTTATGTCCCATTTCACATATCCAATATCCAAATTTTCAGATTTTGAGGTCATTACAATTCTGGATGGGATTAATTTCTCGAAATTTCACTCTTAGCATTTTTTTAATTTTAACTCCTTACAAGTTACTCTTAGAAATGGAATGGAGCCATAAGAAGTAAAGGGCAGAAAAATATGGAGATGTTGATGGTATGTCTGGAAAAAAAAACCGTATTTTTTAATGTTTGTATTCGAAATCATTTAAATTAAATGCAATATTAAATAGCATATGTTTAAAATATGCCGAAAAGGATCGATTTGGAATTACGTGCTTGAAGGTGAATCTCGGTAAGAAAGAAAAAAAAAATTCTCAACGTTGAGGATTTCAAAGTAGCACGATCAAACTTTCATGATTCGCAGGAGCTTTGAGTGAGCCATCATTCGATGGGATAAGCATAACGGTGCTTGGAATCAAAGAGAAGTTATTGGAGGTCAAATTTGAGCAAAATACGGCAAAACGCGCAACTTGAAGTGCATGTGGCAGAATATTTGAAGCGACTTAAGAAGTAAATGCATTGTATATTTTTGGAATAATATTATAGAGGAAGATAGACGCTCCAAAGCTGGTCCAGTTACGTGCGTTCTTGCTAGGAATTTTTTTAGGTTGAAAATGTGATAATTTCATAAATTTTTATGAAGTTGAAACTTTTTCAAATTAAGACACCGAGGAACCCGTAGAAAAATTTAGAGACGTCTAGCTACTCGCTTTAAAATGAGCTGTCGCCCATCTTTCTAGCTGATGAGTCGATGTGGCGTTTGGTTGAGGATTCCCGCTCAAACTTTCCAGATGCAAAACGCAAAGAAATTTTTTTTGTTGTTACCTAGGCAGCTGAAATTTCGGATTCGTCTGTGTCTCGTAACGCCCAGTGTACGCGATTTTTAGCGGCTCGCGAGAATTGGACCGCTTGACGTGGAATGACTCAGGAAGGGAGAATCATTAAATCGGCCCAATTACGGGGAAGCAATTAAAAGCGGAACTCTCATCTCATCCGATTTGAAGCTTTCACTTGGAACTCCAGCCCACAATCTCTCTCAGAGCCCATGCTCGAAAACGCCGGATTCCATCCGCGATTTCCCGCTCGGGCGACGACCGATATCGCCTTGTTTCTTCCTGCGTCCATCCGAAAATTTTACAGGGCGGTATATGGGAATTCCGCTTGGAATTCCGAAGCTCTCTTGCCGTCTCCGTTGGATTTCGGAGATGACGCATCGCGTGAGTCGGCACGCGTTTTCGGCGTGGAAAGGGGTCCTTGGATTCACCTCGTGGAAGAGGCTCTCTCATCGCGAACGGGGCTGTCTCATCGCGAATGGGGCTGTCTCATCATGCGGTGGGACGAAGTTCCTCCCGCAGGGTGAAAGCGACTCAGAAAGAGGAATGCTTTTCAGTAATAATATGGAGATGAAGATCGTTTTGATTTAGAAATGAACTGAGATTGATCCTGAGAGTGAGATTTTCCAAGAACAAAACAGGTTCTATGAAAGTTGCATTACCTTAGCAAAAGGTGACAACTTTCCATCAATCGCAGTGAGTGCTTGGAGAAACAAGCGCGTTGCAATGGAGTTCTCATCCAAGGGAAAAACAGTAATCAATTACGGTTATACCGATGGCGATCTCATGCCTATCGACCGGCGCCGTGGCTATTTTGACGTGCAGAGAAACAGCGAAGAGTAAACATACCAGGAAGCCACGATTTCAATTTTATCAGGACTGTAACGCTGGGTGATTCGGAAGCATCCATGTATCGCCTCGAAATATGGAGTGTGCGCCAATGCACCCGATGCATGGTGGGGTGGGTGGTTGTGGGGGTGGTGGGGGGTGCTGGCTTTCAGTCTCCTCTCGCCGAGATCACTTCCGTCGTTTCTCGCCTCGTTCGGGGCGCGGACATCTGTCTTCCATAATCTCTTGCCTGTGATAGGGAAGTGCGAGAGGGAGGTGTGTCCTCTACGATTCATAAAGCTTACCACGCCTCCAACTATCGAAGAGGCATCCAATATCGATGGATGCATTGAAATCGCCCCAATTTTATCCTCTTGCCGTTATGAATCAGTTACCAAGTCCCTTCAGGTGTTTTCTTTTTCTTCTCGATTTTGTTCACTCATCATTGGACATCGGAACTCGCAGCTGGAAAATCTGCCGATGGTGCCATATCGGCTGTCGATACCAGTGGTTGCCGATACATCGGTACGGCCCTGAAAAAAAATCCATTTTTTTGCGCCATGCATCCAGATCATCTTTCCTGAAAATTCATGTTCACCACCAAGCCTTGCCATTCCTTGGAAGGTAGAAATTCCTCAGCAAATCTAGCATATTCACTTTGAACCCAACACGGGTTACTCTCCCTCTCGGTCGGCGAGGATTTCGGTCTTCGACCGATCACGGACGGTTCAGCCAACCGTAGAGGATTCCCTTCATGAGTCCTCGAAGGTCGGCCTCGTTGGGGAGCCCGAAGCGAATGAATACGTTTATGGTGGTATCATATGCATACTTCAGGATTTTGAGTTGGTTGTCCATAATCGTCTCCCCAAAAGTAAAAGCTTATTACTCAGGAATTACACATCGTATTTCAATGATATATGACTCAAACGATAGCCAATTCAATATATTTTTACCGTGGAAAATTTCAGCGCTCCACAAGAAACTAGAACAAAGTTACATCCTTACAAATGAAAGCCACCAAATCACCAGTGTTCAATATGACTCCTACATTCGTCAATGACTTGGTGCAGTCTCTCTTTCAATCCCAGCAGGATTCTTTCAGTCTTTTTTTTTTTGGTCCTGCTCTGTTTCAGCGGGTTGCCATAGGTCTGCCGATGATTCCCTTCGGGGTTAGAAACATCTCATGGAATTGCCTTTATGATCTACCCATCAGGAACTGAGGCATTTGGACCCAAACTGAAAAAAAATTCTACATTTTCCCCACACAAATTTGCTCTCTTCGAATTACGTGTATCAAACCAAATGGCAATATCCGTCTTCTGCAGGATACTGAGGTCACCCATGACATAGAAAATTCCTCGTGATGCATGGAAAACCCTCGAGTGAATCGCGAAACTCAAGATGGAGTTGTGAAATTCAGAAGGAATTTTTAAATTCAGAAGGAATTGTGATATTCACAGACTTTAGTTGCACGATATGGATACTTTCATTTGCTATGGTGTAACTTTGTTCTAGTTCCTCATGGAATGATGAAATTTCCTAAAATAAAACTATTTCGAATTGGCTATCACTTGAGTCATATATCATTGAAATCGGATGAATACTTCTTGTGCAATAAGCTTTTACTTTTGACAATTCTGGACCGACCTGTATTGATGCAGTCGACAATGGCATCTCCTATACGGGATGGAGCAAACGTCAAATCAGTTTTGGGGAATTTAAATGGCCTTCTGGTCTAACATTTCACTAATGCTCTCGAAAGACCTCGCGTTGATGGCCAGAAGTGCCGTTTGATCGCCCTTTTTTTGTCTCGAGAACACAGCCAGTCCGCCCGGAATTCGGCCATCAAATCCGAAATGCAGTGGATCGATGGCCTTGACGTATTCGGGTGTCTTTCGCGGTAATCGTATCAGCTCGCTGAAAACCGTTAACGGTTTTTGCGGAGATCAGGACCAACTCCACTCGTTTCCCAGGTTTCATACACCTTTGCGAGGTTATTTCACAACTCACGGTTAAGAACCACTTCCAACTGCCGTGCATCTAATTATGGCAGAATCGTGCACGCACAAGCATAAAGGTCACCAACATGGACAATGGAAATGACATCATCAACTAAATTGCCATACTTGTTCCTGGCGAGTAACGGTCGTTAATTTCCAGCCGATTTTCGTGGAGGCCACGAGACCACTCTTCACCGGATTTCAACTGTTGCCCAAATGTTGCCCAAATGTTGCCCATGCCCAATTGGCGCAAAAGAGTCTCTGAAACGTGCTGCATCGAGCAGCCAATTTGAAAAATTAAATTCTCGAAAAATCCCCAGATGTTCCCTGTGTTCGGCAGAGGACGACGTTAACCGCAGCCTTAACCTTCATCTCTGCTTCCACACTTTGAGGAAAGTTTATTATAAACGTCACCTGGATATCGTTTGCTTTCATTCCGTTTTCGTATATCTTCATTTAAATAAATTTAAATACGTTTTTGAGCTTATTTTCTTCTGATAGCCTTACAAAAACAGTGGCGAGTGTCATCTTGGTTTCTTCGTCATTTTTGTGACATCTAAGAAGTAAATCGAAAGATACATTTATTTTGGAGAGCAAAAAATGCCGAAATCGCTTTGATTCGGATAGAAAATTGTTGGACGAGATCGCTTCCTTCGGGTTTTCGGCGCGAACATTAATTTACTCATCAGCGTTCGTTCCTTCTTTTCATGGGAAATTTCTGTATCTTCTCAAAGTCTCCATGACGAACGGAATTTTTTTTTTTTTGCTCCAAACCAGGATGACAGCAGAGGTCATAAGCTTCGCAAATTCAACCTCAACAAAAGAAATAACCTCTCCCCCCCCCCCCCCCCCCTCACCCCCCCCCCCCCCCCCCCCCCCCCCCCCCCCCCCC